TGTTTTTTGTATTTCATATTTTAACTTATGCTTAATCTGTTATTCTTTATGTTTTTCATTATCCAAGGACTATCTTACTTTTGTTTTATTCTGTATTATTTTTTTTTCATCCTTTAAGGTTTCCTCATTTCCGTTTATTATATTATTGTTTCTATATTATCTTCACTGTTGTTTTTAATATTTTACTTCTTCAAATGTACAGTACAGTAGAGGACCTTCATGTCTGTACCATGATAATACCTCCATGATTTTCTTATGGGGTCCAATCAAATCACCTTAATGGTAGTACAGAAAAATCAACTTTGGCTTTTAAATTCCATGAATAGGTTCACTGAATGATAGCAATAATAACAATGGTAATAACTCTATTTTCTATCGAGTGGAAAAAAATATCTGGTATCATGCCGAGTAATTTCCAATATATTCACCTTCACTCATGTTTTCGTAATTGGCTTCGTTCCATTAAAGTTTCCCAGTTCAGTAAAGGAAAACAAATAAAAATAACAAAAAAAGAATTGAAAATACGATCTCTACCTCATGAATCGCTTTTGATTCATTACTACCTAGGTGAAATTTTACCAAGGTTGTAGCAATAAATCTTTTTCCTTCTTATACATATTTTCTATAATCAGAATTTGATCTCCAAAATATGTCATATTTATTTTCCTATGCACTTTTCATTAAAAAAAATTGATTTTAATATATAAACCATATTAGAAGTTATTATTTTATTCAACCATTACTGTTCTCAGCTATAATATCAAAGAACAAATGCTACTACATCCCAATCACACATTTGGTCATGTAAGCAGTTAAGAGCTCTCCATGCAAAGGGGCTAGAACTGAAACTTGCTTGTAACAAAAGACTGAGCAATATCTGCCATGAAAATTAATGCAATAAAATAACTCCATGCCTCCTGACTTAATAAATGATTTTCATCTTGATAGGACAAAAAATAGAGAGATTTACAAGAGAGCATAATTTATTTATGAAAATGTCAGCAGCAATTACAATCAAGTCTTGCTAGCAGGATTTTCCACCGGGTGCAAGATGATAGCCAGTGGGCAGTACCTTTGCTTATAGAAACCTATGTTGTAAATTCAACCAAGGAAAAACACTTGTAAAACAATGAAAAAAAAAAGATTACTCTCTCCTGACTTACATACTCAAAAGTTCATTAGATACAATACAAACTACACATTATGCAATATTGGCCAGATAGTCCTGGACCTCAGCTGGTGTCAGTCTTCGGAAACCCTGTGAGTTGCAGATGCCGATTTCAATGTTGTCGCTGCTCATCTGCCCCTCGAAGCTTTCCTTCAGGGTGAGGATGGCAGTGTGGACAGCATCATCCAACTCCAAGTCTTCATTGTATCTGAAACAGAGAGACATTTATAGCAACAGTGTGTGATCTTCAAACTAATGAAACTTATAGGCTTTTTCTTACAATTTACTTTTATTACACATAACCATTAGCTTCTTAAGCTATTTTCAACATGCTGATAAATCCAAGGAAATAGGGACATTGTACACTAATCCAAACATAATAACACAAAACCACCAGGCATTTTGTTACCTTTTCTCAAGGAATGTTTTCCCGTTGATGAAGTTTTTGCCCATGGCTGTGGCTTTCCAGGGGAAATAGGCCCCTGAGGGATCACACTGGAACAAGTACGGCCGATCTAGATCCCAGCCGCATATGAGCAGGCTTACACCAAACGGCCGCACACCACTGTAAAGTTAGTTCAGATACATATTACATTCCTTCTTGCCTGAGGAAAGTCTGTCACTTTCATATGTTATGACCCTTCAATATCTACTACTGAAGCTTTCAAATACTCCATTGGAATCAGCTTTTACTATGTTCGTCTAATATTAGGAGTTGATAAAATTCAATATATAAAATCTGTACATAAAATTATAAATGCATTATTATATTAGCAAAGAAAAGAAAAGAAAGAAAGAATAGAAAAATCAATAATGAAAAAATTCTTTTCTTCTGTTTATTTCTTTATTTGCTAAAATGCTTAAACTTCCCCAGAACATTGGTCCAACCCACATGCATTCTAGCTACAAGTCCTAGTATTGCACAAAAAGCAAAAAACATTTCAACTTAGTACCAAATAAAAACTATACATTTCAAAAAGTTAGTCAAAGTATGAGACCCAATTTTCTCTTTCCTTTCTTTCTTTCTCCTTACATGGCCTATCCGTTTAACACATTACATATACTTATACATGTGGTGAACATACAATAAGCTACACAACAACAGAAAGTACTTACCCAGACTGTGTGTACTCCTGCATGATTGCTGCCAGACGTTGTACTAACTGTGGGGTGGGGATGGGTTCTAAGTATGTGCGGTAGTACTGTTGAGCAACTTTCCTTGCTTGACGAACCAGAAGCCTGTAGTCAGGGCCCATACCTAGAAAACAGCATAATCAGTATAACTTTGAATGGCTGGTTAATGGTAAATGGTTTAGCCAAACAAATGAACTAAACACCAATGTAACTTTGAATATTGTAGGGGTAAACATATTATACATGTACTTGTTGAGAGAATGTAAAAAAAACTGATGAATGTAATATATTTACTACTACCATATCCATGAGTAATTATGTTGCCATGTTCATCAAGATTTATAAAATATGTAGTATTGCATATCCAATGTATCAGAACATTTATTTTCACATTTCCAGTATGATTATGAATACTAAATCTGATGCTCCAGAAATTAGGTAGTGAAACAAACTTTTGGAGAGTTGTATTTACAAGGTCAGCAAAAAATATTCTTATGCAAAATTGAATATGAAAAACTTCCCTAAAATTACATTAAGCACTGTGTTTTTCCTCTCTTTTAGCATGAATGAGTCAGAAGACCACTAACTCATCTTATATATTTATATCCAATAATCAACTTCAGACTATAGTCACCGTACTGAAAAAAATCTGTCACCAGGATGTTACATGGTTCAGCTCTTAACCCAGTGCCGCCAGGGAAAATTCATAAAAAAGGGGGAAAATGCGGTGATCATTTTTCATATTTTTTGTGAAATGTCTCTGCATACAGATGGCTCTGCTAGTGCTTAGCCACAAAGGAGTCAATTAGTAGACCTTGTGACCTTACTTGATTTGAATTGACGGGGAAAATATTTTTTGGTGCTATGAACATTGATGGCATTATTTTCATTATAAAGATTATAATTACTATAATGTTATAAACATTAGTAACAGCAAAATAAGATAATGAAAAATATTTTCATAAATCAAAGAAAAGGGTAAACAGGCAAGACAGGCAGTACTCGTATTTGGCTCATTGGTGACTTAGTGCAAGTGTAGCCATCTATGTGTAAAAACAAACAAGGAACTCACAGTGGGCATGGCACGTACGTACACCTCATGCCAGCCGGCACTGGGTTAACCACAAGAGGTCAAAGAACTAACAAACACAACCAGTTTGGAGACTACCTCAAAAACATGCCTTTAACAAACTAACGTAATTTTTCTTTTCTATTAGGCAGATCATGGCATATAGCATATCTGCATTTGGCGACCATATTATCCCCACAATCAAACTCAGTCAAGTCTCCCCTGTTGCTCTCTCCCAAGTGATGCACTAACATGTATATTTCAGTCCCACCCTACTTGCATTGATAAGAATTCATTCACATGGTTACCCTGTGTGTTTGGCCTTGTACAAGTTCTCAATTTGGGACCAATGGTGTGTAAGAAGGATAAGAAAGGCCAATGAACTGACTGACATGGTTCAAACACTATATAAAAAAATACAACTAAAAAATAAAATAAAAGTTTATGTTATCTTGGCAATGATCATAGTTCAATAAAATACAGTTAGAATCACCCGAGTCGCTAACAACTCCGTGCTACTGGGAAATCGTATAAAGATCCCATTGGTTTTCTTTAGAGAAATGTCTGTACACACAAGGAGGTAATTAATAGACCTCAAGACCTCACCCGGTTTCACCCTTCCTTGAGTTTTCGGGATTTATCTCTTACTAATGTTATCAATATCGATGCTGTTACTATCATTATAGGCATTATAATTATCATAATGTCATTAACATTTCCAATAGCAATATAAGCTTAAAAAAAGATATTTCAGAAAATCAAGGAAAGTGTAAACAGATGAGGTAGTAACTACAAGTAACCGTCTCAATTAATAAACTAGATTCACAGTGGACAAGGCATGTATAACTATGCCATACACAGCAGCAGCAGGTTAAGTTGTCAAATAAATGATAATCTATATTGCAAAGGAAAAGCTATGTATAAATGTGCAATTCAAGAATATCATCATACAACAAAACCCTATTCAATCTGCCGCCACCGAGCAGTCCCACAGTATTCATAAGGCACCAATCAAAGCATTACGTTGTGGCCGAGGCTGAAAATATTCCGGAAACACAAAAACAACTCAATAAACACAAAAGGAATAGGAAATACCATCTCTACCTAACATCACAGAATAAAGACCAAAGGAACACGAAATACCCTCATTCTCTCTCATCCTTGCAACGAGGGACCCACGCCATCCTACTCACCGCTGTAAACCATGCCGATGTGGTCTGTGATCATCTCCACCTTGATGATGGAATGCTCCTCCACCAGGATGGACTTGTGCTTCTTCTCTGTGGCGAGGACGACCCCATCCTTCGCCTTGATGCCCACGGCTGGTGCTCCCGCTGCTACGGCCGCCAAGGCATATTCGATCTGCACCAGCTTCCCCGAAGGGCTGCAATATAGACCATCAAATTAATTTAAATTTTTCATGGTTTTAGAACACTATATAATAATTTTTTTCTATTGCTTATGAGATTTCTCTAGTTTTTTCTGTAAAAGATTACTTTTTTTGGTTATATTTAACAAATTAACAAATCACCAAATACACCAAAGTGGGGCCCTTTTTTTCTCTTGTGTATTAGCATACCCCGCCAAAACTAATACAGTATCACTTTCTTTTCAAATAGATTGGATCTTTTTCAATCTCTCCCTCTCTCTCCCTCTCTCTCTCCCTCTTCCCTCTTCCCTCTCTCAAAGTCATAGTCATAGTCACACTCACAAAATATATATTATATTATATTATATTATATTATATATATATATATATATATATATATATATATATATATATATATATATATATATATATATATATATGGTACAAGAAATAATCTGGTAAAACCACAAATAAAGGAAAAAGATTGCAAAAGTACTGCTCAAAGCCCAATTCCACTCTGTACTCCAGAGCTTCAGTTTTATCTTGCCATTTACACAGAGGTGAAGGCAATGTTTGTAGGGGGGAGTCTTGGAAGGCAAAAAGTTGTAGTTGGTACAAGAAATCATCTCCAATGGTAAGGCCACAAATAAAGGAAAAAGACTGCGGAAAGTGCTGCTCACAGCCAAAGTCCACTCAGTGTGCAAGTCTCAATTTTTTCTTGCCATGCATACCAAAAGTGAAGACAATATTTGCTGAGGGTGTTAGGGAGTGAAGCCTCCATCAAATCTCTCCATTGGATAGTTTATGAAGAGCAATCATGGCAACATGACCCATTACTGCTGGTCATGTGTATAGCCGTCATAACAAACCGCTTGATCTGCCAGGTATGGCTATACACGTGGCAACGTGCTAGAGCGCATCGAGCGGGAAATTCCACTACATGCAGCAGACTCCCAGTGGCTGGACAGTTGCCAGATATCACTGGACTCTATGACACAGAGATTTCTGATACTGTCACTGAGGGATTAAATTGTTGAAAAAAATGTGGGTTAATGTTAACAAGAACGATGCACAAAGAAATGGACACTGCTATCTTATAGAGTATAGGAAATCAAGTAATAAACAGCACAGTTACATCTGCAGCAACCTCCTATTTACTGCATAATGACAAAAATATCTGCTACATGTCACTGCTCAGAGACTAAGTCCACAACACCCTAACACAGACAGTATTAAATGTTGTATTTTCTGTAATTTGGCTCAAAGTCCTAATAAAGAAAGGTAGAGGGGGCTTATCCTCCTATCAAAAAGTTAAGGGAAAAGTTACTCCTGGAATATTGGGTTTGCAAGATACCCTGATTTTGGGCTTCGTCTCTGGAGGGTGCGTCGCTCTCGGTATTGAATACCCAAAATGTGCCATGGAGTTGGGGACTTAATCTTTAGTGAGTGCTTCCGTAATGTAAAGAATTACTGAAAACAGAAGGGAACACAATCACGAAAATATATTTGCAGCAAGAAATGGTAAGGCCGAAGTTGCAAATCAAAGTACCCAAATCTATGACTGCACGACATCTGCACTTTCCTCCGAGGCAACATATATATTCAAGCTAGACGGAGTTTGTCAGCCTGGCGATTTATCTCCCATCTCACAAAGAGGAGGTTAATTATTCTATATCAGAATGCAAAACATAACAGTCACGTCTTTATTTACCAAGGTCCTATCCTATATAATTACCAAAACTAACTTTAGGGTTGCAACATTTTTCTCACATACAAGACAAGCTTCATGAAATCCTAGCAAATTAATCCTCAATTTAGATCACTGCCGTAACTCTTTTCATAACATTATCATAGTATTACTCTCTAAACTCCCAAAGCGAAGACAGAAAACACAAAAAACGGAAGAAATTACCCCATACCCCGAAAACGGACGCAATGCCAAATAAACAAAACAAAATAAACGCAGAATAAAATTTTTAAAAATAAAAAATAAATGCAGAATAAAATTTTAAAAAAATAATAATAAACGCATAATACCATCCTTACCTATACTAAAAACACACTCCCATTCCTCCAACTATCAAGTGCAAAAAAAAATAATAATAATAAATTCATTACAAGAAAAAAACTAAAACACACTACCATTACCCCGACTATCAATCCAAAAAAACACAAAACAAATTCAATACAAGAAAAAAACTAAAACACCAGAACCTGACATTCAAAACATGCCAGTCACGAACCTTCCTTGCACACCCTCCCTTCTTCACCACCCAATACCTCCCTTAAAACCCACCAAAAAACACCACCTACCTCCCCTTCGCATCCCCCTCCCTTCGCCAATCCCAAGGACGACCCAAAAATACCCATAAATACGCCATTAAACCACCTGAAAGTCGTGAGAGAGAAGCTGTATCGCTCTGTGGCCATGGTTGGGGCTGAAGTGACGGGCGTTTGTTTACAGGGACGCCGGTTCGCCTCGAGGAACGCGTCCCGAACCTTGCGAGAAGATGAGGCCAATTCGTGTTTTTTCCGTTCGTTTTGATGTTTTTGAGCTTTTTTTTAGGATGTGAGGTTTTTTGGGGTGTTTTTGGTTGAGTGGAATTGAAATTTTAACTAGTTTTGATAGGAATTATGGAGGATGGTTGTGATATAGGGGGTTTCCAGGTGAATCTGGGGAAGGAATTCGAACATTTCGGTCATCAAAGAAAACGAAACTATTCTTATTTTGAGGTAAACTTTTATAAAAAAAACAAAATACATTTTAAAATATTATCATCTACATGAGTCATAGGCAGAACGTTATATTCTTTGATAATTAATCAGCGTCATTAAGGTCTAAATATATCGACTATAAATATTCAACTAATTTATTGTCATTCTCACCATGAATCTCATTTTTTCAATGGAGTCGATGTGTTTACATGCACACACACACACACACACTCACACACATTCACTCACACACAAACATACACACACACACACTCACACACACACTCACACTCACACTCATACTCACACTCACACACACACACACACACACACACACACACACACACACACACACACACACACACACACACACACACACACACACACACACACACACACACACACATACACACACACACACACACACTCACACTCACACTCACACTCACACTCACACTCACACACACATACATACACATGTGCGTGTGTGCGAGAGAGAGAGAGAGAGAGAGAGAGAGAGAGAGAGAGAGAGAGAGAGAGAGAGAGAGAGAGAGAGAGAGAGAGAGAGAGAGAGAGAGAGAGAGAGAGAGAGAGAGAGAAATTATCTTCAACCTTATGAACTATTGCAGTTTGTTCTAACTCCAAAATTCTCTCTAGAGTCCCTGCATTAAGTTTTCATGATGTATTCCGTATTGCATTTGTATGATTTACAGTATTTTACGCAGAATACATGCAAATAAAAAGCTACTTGTAGAACCTATATCGAAGTGAACAAAGTAAGGAATGAGAAAGAGGGGAAAAGACGAAAAAATAGAAACAGTAATGATAACAATAATAAAAAGAAATTGTCAATCAATGTTTTGGTTTCCGTCTTTCATCTTAAATGTCATCTTTTGCTTGTTTTTAACTAACGTTACTTCAATGCAAAATTAGGAAATAGCTAGCAAGCGCTCGAATATTGTTTATTATTATTATTTTTTATGCTTTACTGTGTTCGAGTTAGATTAAAATGTTACGGAATTTGAAAAGGAGGTTATTTTTTTTAGGAAACCCATTTTCTATGACTTCCTACTGAAAACTGATCCATAAATATTTCTTATAAAACTTTATATGAATCCGGATCACCACTAAAATCAAATCAGCTGGTCTCTGGATCATGAACAACCCTTTCATACGTTATATCAATAAGTTATTTAGTTATATCATAAGTTATCATTTCTGTTGTTTCCTGCATATCCTCGCTTCATTGATAATGCTATTCAATAATTAACGGGGGACATCGCCAAATGCAGGGAATAATGAGAGTGTGGGCATTTAAAAGAGTCGCCATAGGCCTATCTATTTTCTCATCAGATATTAAATAGAGAAATAAATTGCCTGTAATAGGAATCTATAATAACATTCAGCCGATAACAACGGCAAATCAAATATTGGAAGTTATAAGAGTCACAAAATACCTATCTAATCTTCTCATCAGATATTAAGAAGATAGAGAAAATCACCGGTATTAGAAAGCTACAATGATATATTCCAAGAACAGATCACATGTTGAAAACCGGGACTAGACGCGAAAATTATCACCTTTCGTCATTTAAACAAGTGGCAGTTTCACTTTTTTTTTTGCGCGGGAACCAATCTCGCTAAACGTTCATGGTTAAGCAGGATGCTGGCATATGAAAGTTGTCATATTCAAGCGAATGTGGAGTACACACACACATCTACCTGTCTGTCTACCTATCTGGCAATTTATCTACCTGACAATCAGCAGAAAAATAATAGCGAGAGAAAGAGAAAAGAGAGTGTGTGAGATATATATATATATATATATATATATATATATATATATATATATATATATATATATATATCGTGCAGGAATGAAACGTCGTACAGCTGATAGTCTTTCTTTAAATACATCTCTCCAAGAGTGACACACTTCTCCCATCGTTTTATGGACTCCTTGCTTGTGTAAGTCCACAGGCTGTGTTTGAAGCCATGAAGTGACTTCAGAAATCAGTGTCTCGTCATCTTGGAAATGTTTGCCCTTCAAAAATGACTCCATGGACGGAAAGAGGTGAAAATCAGATGGTGCAAAGTCAGGTGATTAAGGAGGATGAGAAGGGATGTAGCCACAGGACCGCGCTTCCATCTGAGCAAAATAAGAGTTGTTGACACGGACGTTGTCTTGTAGGAGACGGACACCTTTGGTCAATAATCTGCGCCTCTTGGTTTTTTTATAGCTTCCCACAATTTTAGTAGTAATAAAGTGCAGTCAGCTGTAGTTGTAGTACCAAGAAATCCATCATCCATCACCATTACTCCATGTTCGTTCCAAAAGACTATGAGCATGACCTTGCCTGAAGAGGGGCGACATGTGCCTTTTTAAGAGGTGGTAGGTCAAAGTGTTTCCATTGTTTTGACGGGGCCTTAGTTTCTGGATCATAGTGATGGACCCAAATTTCATCCTGCACAATTAGGTTTTCTTGGCACATGGCTAAAAGAGCCTTGGAACAAAGGACTCGTTCTTGCTTCTGGAAAGATGTGAGTAGCCTGGGAACCCATCGAGCAGACTTTTTTGTATATGCAGATAGTCATTTATGATTATGTCCACAGACCCAACACTAATTTTGGGATATCTGACATACAGTGATACAGCAGTCTCCACTCGATGAATAGTAGGCCTATCCTCATTAATGGCAGGCTGGGGTCGCCCTGAACTGGCTATGCCAATGTTTAATGTCATATGATGGGGCATCCTCCCTATGACTTCACCGCTGTAACAGAAAACTTGTTTTTAGTTAAGGACTGGAAATCAACACATGGCCTACAGAGATGTGTATGATTATGGATGTGAAATATCAGCCACCTAGGATAAGCGAAGTGAGACAGGGGAAATTATGATAAAAGAATGCCATTTATCTCATTCATCGACATTACCCCCTGTCAATAAATGCTATACCAAAGAAAACGGAAAGAAAGAATGGAAGAAAGATAAAAAACAATACACTTATAACCATCATACTTCACTGATTCATTCGAGTAATGTCATAGGCCATAACTAAATAGATATTAGCCTAACCTACCTTAACACTACTACAATTAACTTAATTTAACCTTAACCTAACATAACCACTAACTTAATTCAACCTAACTTAACTAAACTTTACCAAACCTAACACAACCTAATTACCATGGTCCTTTTAAACTAGCACTTTTTCCGTAAATCTTTGAGTTTCCGTCATAGTTTCAGGCTTAAGAAAGTATCATATTCAAACGAAACACTTCCCTCACGGAGACTAGCGACCGCTTTCCGTCTGACTAGTTTCCCTCTTGATCTTGTGCTTCAGAGGACCTTACAGCTGGAATGCTTTGTTATTTGTTGATAAATTTGATGGAATAAGTTAATGTGGATATGAGGTATTATTCTAGAATATTTTTATTTTTATATACAGTGTATATATATATATATATATATATATATATATATATATATATATATATATATATATATATATGTATATGTGTGTGTGTGTGTATGTATGTATGTATGTATGTGTGTGTGTGTGTGTGTGTGTGTGTGTGTGTGTGTGTGTGTGTGTATGTGTGTGTGTGATTAGGGCTAGACATATATATATATATATATATATATGTGTGTGTGTGTGTGTGTGTGTGTGTGTGTGTGTGTGTGTGTGTGTGTGTGTATATTTGTGCAGGTGATTGAAAGGGGTCTTGACTTGTACGTTTATTGTTGCAAAGAGATCCTCGTGTCCCCGGGTGCCGAGGGCGGAGTGGCGACGAACTAGACCCGTCTGTCGTTTTTTTGTGTCTCTCCCTCTTCCTCTGTCTAGCGAGGCGTGTCCTTTTATGCGGCGGTTCCCTTCGAAGTGTCTAAAGTGAAAGCAGAGAGGACACCTGCGTTCGCTCAAGGAGGACCTCGCTACAGGAAGGCAGCCGTTGGGGACAGATGGGAAGCCTATCACCTACCCTTGCTAGTAGTGTGAACATCTCTTGGCCACGCATAAGGCTCGTCCTCGAGTCGTCTGCAGCAAAGTATATATGAGTTTTTTTATATACTTTGGTCTGCAGCACCTGAAACGCTGCAATAGGCACGTAGGGATACAGAATCTGTTCGGGATCTACAGATGGTTCTTGGTGGTCTGATGGTCACTAGGGTCGTCGTGTGCCAGAGTAGCGGAGGCTTTGTAGTAAGGTGTAACATTCAGTAGTGATACTGTATACAGGTGAAAACAATGTTCAACGAAAATCGCAACAGTAAATGTGAATTATGTAACAGAAACAACTAAATTTATCAATGACTGAATAGACTTGCATGTAGTAACTGGCTCTGAGAGAAAACAAATAAACTAAGCAATGTGAGAGCAATAATAATTTAAAAAAAACAAACAAACAGAAAAAACACAAAAATAACACAACAGTATCTTACCAACTAAAGAATGATGTGTGTCACTTGGATCTGATATCAGTGTGTCTTCGTTTGTTTGTTGTGTTGATAAAACAATGATTTGATTGCAAGAAATTGTGTAATACATGAGTTAGTAGTGTGTGTTCGTTGAGAAAGAAGGTAACTCATGTGTGTGGTATGGGCGGGTGTAGGCAGGACAATAGTTAACCTGACACTAATAGCCAAACTTACTTTAATAGGAAGTACTGGTTATGCTGAGTAGAACTGCGATTTCATGGCTGGGCTGACGAGGGTTCACGGGGGTGACGGCATAGAGTGTGAGAATATATCTTCAGCGACTTCGTCAGGAGGGTAGCACGGGCGTGAGTGGTCAGCAATGAAGTAATAGAGAAGACAAGGTTCGTTAAACATGGATCAGAAGAGGAGTTGGTAGCGATGGCTTGGTGTTAAGGGGGGCGAGGAGGCACTTTGACGGGAGATGTATCTAGGCAACAGAGGGTCGGTGAATTGGCATAGTGAGATCTATGTCCTTTAATGCGGCGGCTCCCTTCAAGGGCGGCTACTTACTTCCGGTGTAGAAGTGCCAAAAAATAAAGCAGTGCGTACACCTGCGTCTGCTGAA